CTTGTCATCTGTGCTCGGCTCTGTTTAGAAACTTATGTTTTGTATATTTGTTTGACAAAACTGCAATTCTGTTTTTCTTTAAATTTGTAGGACCTAAACCCTGAATAGAAAAAGGGGGGGTTCTTCCATCTGGCTCATGGACAATCATCTGCGAGCCACAGCTTGTAATCAAGGATGTATTACTTCAAATTTCCCTTGTCTGGTTATAAATTAGGAAAAATTAAAAACTAAAATTATAAATTAAGAAAAAAGGATCATGTGTGTGTCTGATACTTTACATGAAAGGTAGTGCATCTACCTAACTTGAAGGATTTTCAAATTGAGCCACATTTGTAATTATCTGAAGTCAACAACCATTCATTACACATGGAATCTAATCCCAAAAGAACACGCTTTTGGCTTTTATTTTTATTTTTAATTTCTCATAGTTGTTCCTTTTCACTCCAGCTCTGGTATCTCTAGTCTTTTTTTCAATAACTGGTGCTCTCTTATTTTTTCTCTTATGTCTCTAAAAAATTTTTTCTTCTGTTGGTTAGGTGCATATATTATATTTCTGCATATTAATGTTTTAACGTGTAGAACTAGAAAGATAAAAAATTCCCTTTTGTCTCTAACACTTGATTAAGTTTCTCAAGTGGTATTCGTTAAGACTATCTATTTTCATACTTTCCCTTTCCTGAGACTCTTTTAACTCCTCCTTTTCATCACACAATTGTTCTTTCCATTCTACTTTTAAATTAAGTGCAGTGTTCAGTGTCATAGAATCATAGACTCACAGAATCATTTAGGTTGGAAAAGACCCTTAAGATCATCAAGTCCAACCATTAACCTAACACTACCAAGTCTACCACTGAACCATGTCCCTAAGCACCACATCTACACATCTTTTAAATACCTCCAGGGATGGGGACTCAACCACTTCCCTGGGTAGCCTGTTCCAATGCTTGACAACCCTCTTGGTGAAGAAATTTTTCCTAGTATCCAGCCTAAACCTCCCCTGGCACAACTTGAGTCTGTTTCCTCTCCTCCTATGACTTTTTACTTGGCAGAAGAGACCAGCACCCACCTCACTGCTTGTTTGGCATACGTTGACATGGAGGCATTGATCATCTGTATAGCATGACCAAAAAACTGCTGTCTTACTGTCTGTATCTTTTATGTCTGGGCTAAGACTGTGCAAAGTTGTTTTGTGTAACAACTTTGAGTGTTGAAATCAAAATAACATTACTAGCTTGTGCTATGTTTATAAGAGACTCTAAAAACAAGGCAACAAAGTAGAAAGCTGGAAAACAGAGCAGAAAGAGGACTAAGTGAGGCAAAGCAGATTTTTCTAGTTAATATATGCATAGTCAGCAAGTTTTGTACATAAGGCACACACTTGTGCCAACCTAGATTTTAGAATTATTTTCATTTTACCTGTAACATGGAAGAAAGACTTGGTACACAAAAACCAACATAAAAGCTTAGCTGATTTAAAATTTCCGTCAATATAGAAAAGTTACATCCAAGAATTTGTTTATACTTCTATGTTCAGTTTGCCTAAAAAACTTCCAAATTACCCTTGTAATTGTGACAATGTACCCCTGCACCCTTGTCCTTTGGGCTCAGGTGAGAAACCCAGGCTGAAAATGCATGGAGGAGAATATATTGTTAAATAAAATTATTAATTGTTGTAATACATTCACCAACAGCATTTTCTAATTTAAACAACAGTATACGTTTTTAAAACTTCAGCTACAAGATGTCCAATTGTTTGTGCTTTATTTTGTAGGTAAAAGACCTCATGAGTGTGGAATCTGTAAAAAAGCATTTAAACACAAACACCATTTGATCGAACACATGCGACTGCATTCTGGGGAAAAACCCTACCAATGTGACAAATGTGGAAAGCGGTTTTCACACTCGGGGTCTTACTCTCAACACATGAATCATCGCTACTCCTATTGCAAAAGAGAGGCAGAAGAGCGTGACAGCACAGAACAGGAGGAGACAGGCCAGGAGGTCCTCAATAACGAGCATGCTGGTGCCAGGGCATCTCCATCGCAGATCGACTCAGATGAGAGAGAGAGTCTAACTAGGGAAGAAGAGGAAGACAGTGAAAAAGAGGAAGAGGAGGAGGAAGAAAAAGAGGTAGAAGGACTTCAGGAAGAAAAAGAATGTAGAAAACTACAAGACGTAGAGGATGAAGAAGAAGAAGAAGAAGAAGAAGGGAAAACTGAAGGTAACAAGAATGATGAAGTTGTAAATCAAGCAAGCAATGCAGAACCAGAAGTTATACAGAATAATGGGCAGGTGTCGGAAGAAAAAAACAAATAAAGCTTAAATGATAGTTTTTTCTATAAGAAAAAAAAATTGGTAATGAAGTTCGTTCTATATTATACATGCTTTTCATGGAAACGCAGTAGGCTGCATACTGTGATTTCTGTTCACTACTGTGTAAAAAAATATATATATAAAAAAAAAGAAAAAGAAAAAAAAAAAACAAAATCCAGGTGTGCCTGAACCTCAAACTTAGTAATTTTTCACACAGTTTTCAAAGTTAGGAACAAGTTTATAACATGAAGCAGATTAGAAAAATACAGTGACTCTGGAAGCAAAGATTTAACAGCTTGTAGGAAACCTGATTTATTAGACAAGCATCTGGCATTGTTTGTTTTATCAGTATTAATTTTCATTTTAAGTTGATTAATTTTTAAGCTGTACAATTGGGAGAGATTTATATGATTTTTTTTTAAAACGATAAAAAACATTTCCTAAATCCGCTTCAGTATTTTATGTTTTAAAATGTGAGAACTTCTGCACTACAAAATTCCCTTTTGCAGAAACCTGTAATGCAGTTGCAACAGTGCTTGGCTACCTTTGTAAATTCAACCTAGAAGGTAGCGGTTTATGACATTAGATGTTGTAGTAGAGCATATTATCATTTAAAGTGTATTGTTAGCCTTAAGAAAGCAGATGATAGAAGAACTGAAGTTTCTTACTCATGTGATTAAAAATGTAGTTGAAAAGATTGTCGTTGAGTTCTGATTGCAGGGACTAACAGTGTTAATACTGGTAAGGACAGCAAAGTCGTCAAAATCAGTGTTTGTAATTGTGTTTTGAGTATGTAGTAACGATATGAAGGATATGATATGAAGCTTTGTATCTCCTTTGGCCTTATGCAAGACCTGTGTGCTGTAAGTGCCATTTATCAGTATTATAAAGGCTCTAAGCAGCCTTTATCCAATGCGTGGCCTACAATAACTAGCATTTGTTGATTTGTATCAAACTTCTAAACTAATCATGGGGAAAAAACACTCAGCCATCAGAGAAGCAAGAACACTGGTATATTTCATTATTTAATTATTTGGTGGTATTTTGGGTTAATACCTGACTTGCAGAATTTCTCTACAGTAATTACAAGGGAAATTTTCTAATCTGCTTTATTGCTTTATTGGTTTACTTTAATTTCAGACACATACATGACATGTTATCTGGCTCATAAGTATTTTCAAATGTTAGTTATTATGGACCCCATTTATTAACAACGTTAGCTGATTTTTACCTATCAGTATTATTTTATTTCTTTTAGTTTATAGATCTGTGCAACATTTTGTACTGTATGTCTTCAAACCTGGCAGTATTAATACCCTTCTTACTGACATATGTACCTTTTTAGTTTTAGAAAACTTTTATATTTATGTGTCTTATTTTTATATTTCTTTATTTATTACACAGTGTAGTGTATAATACTGTAGTTTGTATTAATACAATAATATATTTTAGTATGAAAATTTGGAAAGTTGATAAGATTTAAAGTAGAGATGCAATCGGTTCTCTTGCATTGAGATTTGATTTAACAGTGTTATGTTAACATTTATACTTGCCTTGGACTGTAGAACAGAAGAATTAAAATGGGAATGTATTAATTTTACAATTGCAATCAATTCATTTTACCTTTACCCAGTTTTTAATATAAAGCTCTTAAATTTTGAAATTCACTGTGTGACTAATAGCATGATGCTCTGCAGTTTTATTAAGAGATTAGTCTAACCATAAAACTCTCATTTCCTTAGTAAGCCAAATTAGAATAATCTTATAAACAGTGTTGGGAACAATGTTTAACATTTTTGTGCCAATTTGTTCCTGTATTCATGTATGTATGTTACAAATCTGAAACTTCATTTTTAAGTTCCTTGTTACATCATGGTCATTTTCTAGTTTTTTACCAGACTCCCCATCTCACAATAAAATGCGTCAACAAGTCTGACTTACTGTCTTTATTCTGGTAATTTAGAAAATGGTTTTAAATTATTTCTATGAGATGTTATTTGGACACGGTTCCTGCTTCAGTGTCGATATTCAGTTTCAATTGTATGTAAGGAGCACATAAGTGAAAGAAAGGGTTGTGTGCAGGCAGAGGGATTGCTACATGAGTTTATTGATTTACCAACGTTAGTAGAGCAACTGAGTTTTCAAAACGAACCATGTGGTTTTGTGAATTTTTTTTTTCCTCTTGTATCTATCTAATATACAGTTTAATGCTCTCTTTCAATAGGAATGCTTTTAAAGGAAGTAAGTCTGTAACAGTTTTCTTGACTCAGCAATAAGCTAGTGCAAAGGTTGATGTATACATTGCTGTTGAACTTTCCAAAGATATGGAACCAACGTTACGGATATATATAATTTCAGTAATGTAAGTATGAAGGCTTGAAAGTTGTCTTACATATGCATGTTTACAATGTTTTGCAGTTTAAGCAAAGTTTAGAGACTGTTCTTTAAGCAAAATTCTGTTCTTTAACGATCCCTAAAGGGGGATTTCAGTTGTTCATTTTTGTTTTTTTACAGAAACGTCATATAAGTTATTTTGTATTCGCATATCTAAGTTTTGAATAATTCTCAATCTTATTATCTCAACATTAATACATACAAAAGATTTATCCTATATTTTAATTGTTTTACTTTGTCTGTATTTTGCTGTACAGTATACCGAATATTGCACTTTTAAGTGGACTAAGCTCCTAACTCGGTAGTGTATGAGAAAGCTGTTTTGAAAAAAAAAAAAACATTTATATTGCATCTATAATGTTGCCTTGTAGTTATTATCATAACAGAATTGATGAGGTAGTTCAGAATTTCTTGCAGGTAAAATTGGCTCTGCTCTGTTCTAGGTAATGAAACACACCTTTCTGAAACTATTTTAAGATTTTTTTCTCATTTTTTGTTATCCAAGAACATCTTTCTTGTCTATAGGAATAAACCCGGTGAGACATTTGTTGAAAATGCGATGGAAATAATATTTTGCTGTCTTTAGTAATAGAGCAAAGAATTTGAATAAATCCAAGGTTACTCACATGATAGCTGCACGTGAAAGGCCAGTAACTTCGATTTCCAGAACCTTAAATGAAGCAAGAGAAAGCAGAGAGAGACACTGGATGAAGAGCAAAGTCCAAGCAATTTTGATTCAGGAAATGTCATTGGTTTTCAGGAGAAAATTTATATTTGTACTTAGACTATGAAACCGTTATTAACATTTTTATCTTCAAAATGGATTGGTGTATTGAATTTTGCATCTGTTAAGCTCAGAGATGCCTCTGATGTTTGTGACCGTATGACATCATTTATTACCCATTTGAAAAACACAAAAGCTGTGATGCATCTTCATTTAGCGGAGTAAACTCAGCTGGAACAAAGAGGTACTTAAGAGACGCAGGCTTTATTCCCAGCCCCATCAGTGAGATGCCTGCAGTGCAGATAGCTGTGCAGCGCAGGGACAGCCCAGCAACGGTGAGGGAGTCCACTGGCGTACCAGAAGCAGACCAGCTGCAGCCACAGCCACGTGGACCTTCTCTGCAAGCTAATGGCAAAACAGTTTCAAGGAGAGTAAGTTTCACACATGAAAAACAGTGAAAGCAAAAGTGTAAAGCCTTTGCATTCTGTCCTTTACAGATAAATAAAAGTTGGAAAAGAGCAGTAAAAATGAAATGTAGTTTTAATAAAACTTCACTGTCCTGTGACCTCTTCTTTGCTCGGAAGATGAAAAGTACATCAGTTGCCCTGTGTGCCCAGGCTGCTGTCTGTGCTTGCTTCTTCCTCATGCTCACCATGCATGGCTCGTCTTAGCTAAACCGTCCAGGGGACAGGGGACAGTGACGAGTCCAGACTGAGAAAAAGAAAAGTGTCCTTTGAATGCAGCATGGGACAGAGCACGGACCCGAGACTGATGTTCCGGTTTTGGTTCTGCTATTGACCTATTTTATGACTCCAGAATATAATTAATTGCTATGTTTCGAAATCACAGTTACAGTTGCAAAATTGACAGTGTATGTCCTTTTTTATCAGGTAATTTGAGAATAGGAAAAAATATGACAGAATAACTGTACAAAGAATGTTACAGAAAAAGTAAGTATTAAGTTTCATGCCCTGGGATGGGGAATACCCTTCTGAGATCCTGAGCAAACAGGAGCAGAAAGAGGGACTTAAGGGTACAGAGAATACTGGAAGATATGTTGAAGAGAAGTAACTGCTTTCTCCTCTTTCAGTAGTATTCATATGGCATCCCAGCCGTGATTCTGGTGGCATTCACTCAAATTCTCCATAGCCACATCGCTCTCTACTTGCTGGTTATCTAGAGCAGCCTATCCATATGTCTAATTGGTAACATAGCAATGTGCAGCAATGCTGTACATATGAGCTTGAAAGTTTTTTTGAAAGTGGTATTGAATTACAAATAGTCAGATAAGTTAATGGATACTAAAAAAAGAAATCAGGAAGTTTTGATAGTTTGGCTAATCTCAGAGTGCCAGTGTGTTTCAATATCTATTTTAAATTTTAATGGAAGAAGAATGCATGATGGCATATCAACTGAGAATGCAATACAGTTACTCTAAAAGGCACTATTCTTCAGACATATTGAGTAAAAATTGCTTAAACTGGCAGCAAGTATTGTGTTCACACTCTTGAGTAAAATTATTCTAATGCAATTATTGCAGGTAAATCCACAGTCAGTGTCTGTACAAGCAGCACTTTACTGGTATCTGTAGTGGCAAAGTGTGCCTAGGGTGGTGGCGGCCACAAGCCTGAGTGGCAATTTGAAAGCAAAGCCATTTACAAGAGAGAAAATATGACACTGCTAAAAGCACAGGTTTTGCTACAGCAAAATGCTACATTGGGGCTTTTATCATCAAAGTGATGAAAGATCAGGAGTTCACACTCCAAACCAACATAGAAGTCTATAGCAGAGAAATGAAAATACTTTCTGGTGTACAGAACACCATTAGAGGTGAAGGTAATGACTTGAGGATGGGAAAAGTCCATTTTGCTCATGGAGGCTGTAGTGAAGATAGAGGATGGCTTTTGAGCAGAGGAGAGAGGAAAGAGCTTCGTATGTGCTGTCCTGAGCACCTCCTGCAAGGGTGTTCTTTTTAATTTATTTACTACCAGTGTATAAGTCTGCGCACAATTCTTTGCTCGGATAGAGGCTTTGTTGTATGTTTTGCAATTCACATTCTGGTACTTAAACACAAAAGTGGGGTTTTTTTTCCTCTTTCCTTGGCAGAATAGCTTGTTTAATTGTCACTAGAATAATCTCTAAATTTCATAATGGGAAGTCAGAGTATCTTTTGACTCTGTATTTTATCATTTATTGTTCATGTTTTTCTTGGGCAGTTGTTCTAATGATATTTGCATGGGCTGATTTTCACCAAAAAATGAATACGGAAGGGTTACGATGATCAAATTGACTCTTAAAAGTGATGAAATATTTACAACTTCTGTTTTATCCCTCTGCTCTTTCATGACCTCTGGTCACTAATCAGTCACACAATCTTCTTAATTGTGTGTATTATGCCTATCATACACGTTGTATATATGTTGTCTCTAGGGGAAACAATATATTATTATCCATTTAATTGCTTCACAAAAAAAAAAAAAACCCAAAACTCTTCTTTTAAACTGTAATTAGAAAATAAACTGATAGTTGGGATTAAACATGAAATGTGCTGATGTCAGGAGCACTTTCGTGGCAAAGTTTGTCCTAGTAGCATGCCAAATGTGAAAGTGATGTCATATTAATCTAAAACTAAGTAAAGTTCTCCAAGGCCGTACCTCTACACTAGCAGATCCCCCAAAAGATCTTTAAAAATTATGAGGACAATGGAAAGTAATCTTTGAAATAAATACATTTAGAAAACCAAAGGAAATACCAAAATGACATTCTGGTGAATCTCAAGTTCTCTGATTCTGCTTTTAGATTTTAACCTTCCTGTACTGGGGACTGTCCTTGGGTTTTGCTCATCTTCGTGTAAACTAGGGTTTGCGTAATAATTACGAGATTTGCATTGCGTGTTAACACAGGAATTAAGGGGATAAATTAGTTAAACCCTGAAAAACCTGAAATACACCTACACTAACTTTGTGTCATTCCTCATGAGTTTCTGTTCCTCTTTTACCTGGAAAGTCTGCTCACTTTTAGCACACCCTGGGCCCAAAGACAGACCACAAGTCTGACAGCACGTTGTGTGACTGGGTCCTGTTTCCACCCCTTACTGTTCAGGAGCTCTCTCTTTAGGCCAAATCCTGCATGACTGTTGATGAGTATCACTTGAATTCTGTGAAACGTTCTTTATTTTTAATGACAGGTAAGCTATTGCAAAGGTATGGAGGGAGCATTTTGCTCTTCTCAGTGTGCAAGAATAAAATCTGTTCGACCAAACTGTTCAAAGCTGGATTGAATTGTTCAAGAAATAAGTTCATTGGAAAATCATGCAAAATTCTGAAAATAACAAGGGCTTCCAACAGGTTTATAAGGTCATGTCACTATACACAAAAAAGCTACTCAGAATTTTTTTTCCCTCCCTCAATCAAATCAACCCAATAATGGGAAAACACTTACATGGACAGCAGTCCTCAATTTCTTTTCAGCTCGGGCTGAACATAATGCTGCTATCGGTCTCCTCCAAACCAGGAGCCGAGCAGCTGTCTCACTTGTACATACTTCACTTTGTGTCCTTGTGAGCAGGAAGTGTTGGAGTGAGGGGGAGGAAGGTTTAAGCCTTCTGACGGTTGGAGCTGGTTGTGCTGCCAGCAGCACCTTTCCACAGGCGGCTGCTGCTGACGGCCAGGGAGTGTTTGAAGTGGTCATGGTTACAGCCTGACCAGGTCAAATGATCTCAGCTGTGGTTGCAGAGATAACAGGAGCCTCAATCAAGACAAGCTGACTAAGTTGACCTCAAGTCAGCTTTTTTCCCCATTTAGACAGCTC